CTCTAAGATGAGCTGAGGTAATAGATGGTAATGATTACTTGAGGGAGATGACACCTATATATTTGACCACAACTGTCAAACATACACACAGAGAAAGGCTGCATAACAACTGCACTTTACCCAGACTGTCCCATTTCTGGTTCAAGCATCTTGTAACTGACAGCTTGAACATCTCTGAACAAATATCTTAAGAGCACAATTCCCAAAGAAGGTTGATTTTTCAAAACACATGCCACGTGCCCAAGTAAATCACGTACAAAGATTGGGCTCTAACAACCAAGCTAAGCTCATAAAATATATTTTTCTTGCTGATTTTTAAAAGCCCATTAAGATTGGATCATATGATAACTAGTCATTTTAGCAAAGTCTAAATTTTTACAGAGAATTCACCTCTAGAAAGTGTCACATGTTTGTTTTACCCCTAGAACATTTTTACAAAGATTTGTAGAATCAATCTCTGTGAAAGTAATTATAAAGAGCAAATCTCCTTAATCTAATTAGATCGCATTGTAATAGCACAGAAGAATTTTACTGCTTTGAGAGTGTCTCTTTTGCTTCTCTGTCCTGCACCACCAACACCGCCATCCACACTTCCCCGAAGGGGGAAGAGCTTTGTCAAAAGATTTCCTGGTAACTCAAAAGCATTTTGTGGATAGTAATAGTGTGCATTGCACCAAAATGAGACCTATTTATGCAGTGTTCTCCAAAATGAGTCCCTGCTGGCTCGGGTCAAATCAAATGCCTCATACCTGAAATGAATGAGGGGGCTTCCTAAATTGCTCCAGTAATTAGGTTAAGCTAAACAAATACACTTAAGTTTTGCATAACTCCGTATTTCTACAGTCAAAATATAATTTGCACAGATTAGCTGCCCAAATGTACTTTTGGAGCTATCGTTACTGAGGTTACGAAATGACTGTGTGTTATATACTAGGTCCTGGGAAGACTGATAACTCTCCCATTTCACAGACACTTTTAAGGTCCGTATTTGATGGAGAGCAGACTCTGTGTCAGACCCCATGATAAGTAAAGGGAAAGAAAGTCAATGAAGATACATGCTTAATCTAAAGGAGTTTCCACTCCAGCAGGAGAAAAGAACAAGGAATACTTTTAATACTATAACAGAACCATGAGTCAAGTTCTAGGAGTGCCCAGGGCTGGGGGAAATCATCGGTTCTGTCTGAGCCACTAAACAAAGGCTTCTCAGCAGAGGCGACCTGAGACCTTCAAGGGTGACCTTGAATAGGACGCTGGACTGGAGACACAACATACCACTTGAGATGCACATTCCAGTGTGCAGCCCATGCTGAAAGTACTAGGGCTTATGCTAGGTAAAAGGGGAAAACAAAAAAGACTAGAAGCTTGGGCAACCAATTTTTTAAATGTGTTTAATGTGAAAGATTCCAAACATTCATAAAAGGAAAAAGAATAATAAATAATTCCTCAAATGCCTGTCACCTAGATTTAATGATTCTCAAAATTTGGGTACATTTGTTTCATCTCCCTTGTTTTCTTTTCTTTTTTTCTTTTCTTCCTGAGTTTTTTAAAAAGTATACCTCAGGGGCTTCCCTGGTGGCGCAGTGGTTGAGAGTCTGCCTGCCGATGCAGGGGACATGGGTTCGTGCCCCGGTCTGGGAAGATCCCACATGCCGCGGAGCAGCTGGGCCCGTGAGCCATGGCCGCTGAGCCTGCGTGTCCGGAGCCTGTGCTCAGCAACGGGAGAAGCCA